ACAACGATAAAACACAAGGACCAGTGAGATAGCTCAGTGGGCAAAGGCACTTTCTGTGTGAGCCCAATGACCTGAGTTCAATCCCCAGAGCCCACATAAAGATGGAAGGAGGTTGTCCTCTGACCTCTACACACATGCTGTGGCATGTGCAAACCCACACTTGCCCACACTTCATAACACACAATAATGACAAATCAAAACCCTGTTAAGTGTTAAAAAGAGGATCTCCACTTAGGAGCTGAAGCAGAAGAATTTCTACAAGGTTCAGGCCAGCCTCGGCTATAGGGTGAATATTAGACCAATGTGGGCTACACATTAAGTTCCTGTCTCAAAAGAAATAAAATATAACAACTATGCCCAAAAGACCAGAATCCTATGCAGTGAGTGTCATGTCCTCCATGGCCAGCATGGAGGGGTTATTACGGAGCATATCTGCAGGCGCAGTCCACTAGTTACGCTGAGAATTGTGGAGTCGTAGGGTGCTGAGGAAGACGTGCCCCCACCCAGGACACTGGCACTATCTCTTCCAGAGTCATCCTCCCTCTAGCCCAGGTCCTCATCGAGGACAGGGCAGAGTCCCCTTACCTCAGGTCACCCAGGACTCCACACTAGGTGCTCTCAGAAACCACTCTCAAGGGAAATGATGACTGGAAAGGCTCACATCAGGTCCCAAATGCAGGCAGTTGAGGCTGAGGTGGGGGAGGGAACACTTCTCACCAACCCTTCTTTCTCAGCTATAATTGGAACAAAGAACTAGTCATTTGCTCTCTTTCTCCTTTCACCTGATGGAGCCTGTCAGCATCCCCCTCCCTCAGTGGTAGAAAGAGACAGGGGAAATGTCTTTCTCTTCCAAGACAGAGTGTGTGCCTCCTTCAGAACTGAGCTTCTCTGGGTGGAATATCTGTGTGGATGGCTGGGTTGGTTGTGCCTCCGTAACCCAGGCACCTGGATTTTTTCAGTCAAAGATTTCCTCACAGTTGAGCATGGACGGTAGTTTAAGTAGCTAGGCATGGTAGCACAGACCTGGAATCACCAGCACTCAGGAGACTGGGGTTAGAGGATCACCAGTTCAAAGTCAGCCTAAATAGCTTAGCAAGACCCTATCCAAAATAAAATGTAAAATAAAAAAGTGAAGAAGAATGGGGATATAGCTCAATGGCAGAGTGTCTACCTAGCACAGAAAGGTTCTAGGTTCAAACCCCGGTGCTGACAAAAAGAAAAACTCAGTTTGTATTGTCTGATAGCAGTTTCTCTTCACAAGGGGCAGCAATGCCACATTAAAATAGAAACGGCTGCACCACCTTTTCATCAGAACCCTGAATTTACAGGGTGGCAAGGACGCCCGGCCCTCAGCTATGGCAGAGCAAACAAAGCCAGGAGATACATGTGGCTGCTTCAGGGGACAGGGTGGAAGATCCGAGGGTGGCAGGTGTATTGTGCGAGTGTGTATGCGCAGGCGCCTGGGTGGATCTGAATTCTTACTGTGGGTGTGTGTGATGTGTGTGGGCTGTGGAATCTGGGCCGGTGAACGGGACCTGCTTGTATGGGGAGTGGGGAGGCCGGGGCGTATGATGACTCATCTCTCAGAGTGTGGGAGGGTTTATCTGGGGGGGTGACTTTCTGGTCCAAGGCATCCAGAAGAAGCCTTGTTTATCTTCAGAAAGCAAGGTGGTCCCAGGGTCTCAATGCGATGACAATGATGGCTGCTAGAGCGTGCATCTGCCTGTACCTGGGGTGCTGCCCCCGGCAAGGGGACAGAGCATGTGGAAGAGATAACAGGCAGATCACAAAGGGAGTTTATAAAAGGCAAAGCAAACGAAAGCTAACTTAGAATCCCAGCCCTTCCCAAGTCTCCCGGCTCAACGTCTCAGCTGTCCGGTGTGTGACATGGGAAGTGTAAGAGACACAGCAAATATCCTCTGTCGCCTCTGTCACCTGTGTGGCCACCTTGGCCCTGCTTGTCTGTTAGTTCTCCTGGGATCTGCTAGCAGTTATGTTCTCTGCACGTGAACTGTAAGGATGAAAAGAGTGCCCACTTGGTTCCTGGCAGAGCCTGGGACGCCACCCTCCGCTCATCCTCGCCCACTCCATGGTGCTATCCTTTTGCAAAGACAAAGGGACAGAAGCTCAGAGAGGTGAAGCCACTTGCCCAAAGTCACAAAGCAGATCCCTGGCAAGGCCAGGACTCAAGGCCAGGTGGTCAATGCCCCCAAAACCTTGTACTACAGTGGCACCCACCCCATCCCTGGGGCCTCACGAAGACTTCAAGAGTTGCTTACTGGGCTCACATCAGGAGCAATGCCTGACTGTGCCTGGGGGAGGGCAAGCTGGAGGAGGACTTGGCAAAAGAGTCCCTAGCCGAAACGGATTCTGTACCAATTGCAGCTGAATGCAGAATACATTTTCTGTTCATGACAACCACTGCTTCTCTAAGTCAGTCTTGGACGCTGAGCAAAAGTTGTGGAGTTCTGCTGCCGTCTGCCCCAAATTCCCATCTCTGTATAAAGTCAAAGGTGTGCTGAGCTGGGACTACTCACTCAAGAGAGCCAATCACCCTCCACGGAGGACCGGGAGCCCACCAGGTATGCTCTTGCAGCTGACCACACCCCACCCAAGTTCATAGATCAATTTCCCCAGGGTCTGGGTTCTCAGAGGTTACCCTTCCTAACAAAAGGTAGTCATGATCAGGAAAACGGATCTGGACACCTGTACCTGAATGTCCAGAGCAAGCAGGGCCAGCTTAATTTCAGCATCCAATAATTCAACATCCAATAATCAGAGAGGGCCCTGAAGTCCAGATCCACATGCCTACCTCTCTCTCTACCATGCACTCCAGGGAAAGTGGTAAGAACTGCAATCCCCTTGAGGGGTTCAGGGCAAAAAGAGCACCCCTGGCAAAGTCAGGAAGTGAGGAGCAAGGGGTCATGGCCCCAGACACGTGGGGGCTCTACCACAAGGCTAGGCTCTGAATCTCTGCTCACACACACCCCTGATCTGATTGACTTCACCTTCAAAGCAGACTTTGAAGCACTACAGGAGGCCGATGGCCTGGAAAGCTCCAAGTAGAGGGCCAAGATCCTCAGAAAGTCATCTAGAGGGTGGTAGCTGCACACCGGGCCCCTAGTCCCTGGCAGACCCAGTGCCTGCTCCCACCTCCCCAAGGAGAATTGCTACCATCTTCCTAAGTGAACACTCTGGAAAGATCATGTCTGCTTTGCCTGCTTCTGAGTTCCCAGAGCTTCAGCATCTGGTCATAGTAAGTGTTCAATAAACATTTGTTGATGGGGAGGTAAGAACTCCTTAGGCCAATGAAGATAGATGTCTGGGGTGTGGGCAGGCTGAGTGCAGGGCCCCACCCTCAAGTGTTCTGGGATTCTCCCCTTCTGATAGGTTCAGTCACCCCAGGAGTCACCATAGCTGTTCCAGAGCAGGCACCTCTAGAAAGCAGTTTTGCAGACCAGTCTATCCAGAATCCCGAGTGATGACTGTCCTGGGCCACAACTGCCTGCTAAGGATCCCTGCTGGGAACACCAGGCTGCTTGACCACCCACACCTGCTGTGAGGACCTAACCAAGACTGAGTGTGTGAGTACACGTGTACACACACACACACACACACACACACACACACACACACACCACGTGCATGCTCCTGGAATCTCAGGAGGGCTCAATGCCCCAGGGTCAGGGAAACTCTGCAGCTTTACCCACGAAAACAACAGCACAGAAAAGGCCGCCTGGGACCATGGCTGGGCAAGGCACAGACAGGCAGGAGCATTATATAATTAACTGCCCAGACTCCGCCTCCTCTTCGGGTAATAACGAACCCTGTCTTTCAGTTGCATAAGCCAAAATAATAATTACTTTCAAGCCCTGATCACTCTTAGATGTGGTCAGGAGCAGGTGCTGGCTTCGGGCAGGAGCTGGCTTCAGGCACAGAGAACACACACAGGCTCCATCAAGCTCTCTGTCCCCGGAAGAAGCCCAAGTCATTGCTGCATCCATGCCCTAAAAATCAGAAGCCGCCCAGGCCCAGAGGGAGGCAAAAGAACAGCCTCTTGGGATGAGCGCCTGGAGGGGGAGGGGGCCTCCAGGCAGAGTCGGCCTTGGGGTCTGTTTCCCAGGATCTAGAACTATTCCCGAGGTCTCAGCACCGCTGAGGAGTGGGCACTGGAGTGTCCAGGTAAGGTGGCCGCTGCTAAGTCAGCCAGGACTTCTGAACAGAAACCATCACACTGGCAGTTCCCTGGCTTCCGGAACAGGCTCTGCCCGGACTGTGGTGGCATCTTACACCGGAGGCGCAGAGCGATTCCCTAAACTAAAGGTGAAAATGATTCAGCCACTGAGCGGCCAGATTCCTGGGCTCCCGCTAAACAGATGGGCCTCCTCCCTCCCTCCCTCCCTCTCTCTCCAGCAGCCTGCTTCGACAGCCTGTGTCCAACCACCTAGAAGTTTATTGCCTTGCTGTTTGGTTTGGTCGGCGTCCCCCGCCTCTGGCGCTCCCAGCGCTCCCTCTCCATTGGCTTGGGTTGCTTTAGGACTGAGGGAGGCCCTGGGCACCGCAGGAAAACAAGAAGCTAACCGGGGCCTGACTCTGGGGACACCAGGCGAGCAACATGAAGGGAGGGGAAGGGTCCATTTTCAGGCCCCTCCTGCCTTGGAGGTCCCGGAGGTAGCAGAGGACCCGGCCTGGCCTTCTGGCAGGTGCAAATCTCTCGCCTGCTCCTCAGGATATGCTGAGACTTTGGCTCAGCTGCTGCAGCAGAGGCCTGGCCCTGCTGCTGGAGAGCCCCCAACCTTTGGGTTGGCACGGGCCGCGGTCCCCATCAAGCATGGGGCAACCTGTGGCCAGGGGCCCGCTGAGGCCTCCTGGGAACCTAGGAGATGCCCCAGGAACCCATAGCCCAATTGGAGGGCGAGGTTCAACTTCCCGGAAGATAAACAGAAGGAGAAAGAGGGGCCGGTCCCCATTCCTCCCCCGCCCCCGCTGCCCGCACCTACCTCCATCCGAGTAGGTCTCCGTGCCGTAGCCATCCTGCAGTCCGTTGCTCCAGGTCCCTTCATATTTGGCCCCGTTGCCCGTGCACTCCCGCACACCGTAGCGCCCCTTAAATCCGTGCGTCCACTCGCCCTTGTACACCCACTTCCCCTTGCTCTCCAGGCCGATGCCGTGGCGCTTGCCCTGCGCCCAGGTGCCTTGGTACGTGTTGCCGCTGGGCCAGGTGTAGACACCCAGGACCTCAAAGCCGTGGCTCCACGAGCCGGTGTATTCGCCCTGGCCCTTCGGGCCGGTGCAGACGCCATGGCCGTGCGCCTTGCCGTCCTCCCAGCCTCCGCAGTAGGACCCTCCATCGTCAAAATTAAACCTACCCCCACTGGACATGCATGTAACGCGGTTTGCGAATCCCGCAAGCGGTGAAAGAAAAAAAAAATAAAAAACAAGGCTATCAACAAACCGGAGTCTTGGTTGGCTGGCTGGCTTTTTGTTGCGATGCTCTTTTCGGGGGGGGGGAGGGATGGATCACGCCCGCGACCCCGCGCGCGGACCGGCGGCGGCGTCTAGGTCCGCCCGCGGCGATTGTTCATTTTCGAGCTGCGCCGGAGCCTGACCAGCGTCTCGCGCTCCCGCTGGAGACAGGACCGGGAAGAGGCGGGGGAGGGGCGGCGCAGGGCGGGGGAGCGGCTGGTGCCCGCGGCTCCACCTCGCCGCCAGGGCCCCTCGCCGCGCGCCCCGGGAGCGGGAGGGCGCGGGGCGCGGCTCAGGCCCGGGCGGCGGGGCCCGCGGGCGGCGGCGCGCGCGGCTGCACGGATCCCGGCCGGGCCGGGCGGCGGCACTGCGGCGGCGGCGTGCGCTCCGGGCTCCGGCAGGCGCGCGGCCGCCTAGAGAGGGGCGCTGGCGGCCGCGCGCGCGCGCACGCGGGGACCCCGGGGCGCCCTGCCCCTCCCCCGGCTCGGGGTCTGGCCGGCGCGCCCCAACCGCCCCTGACAGGGTCTGGGATTTAAAGGGACAGGAACTGCGTAACGGGAAGGAACTGGGCACCGCGAGCGCACGCCGCGACCGGGAGCCGGGAGGAGTCTCGGGCGCCGCAGGCAGTGAAGGGCCGTGCGGTCCCCACCCCGACAGCTCAGGGGATGCCAGCACCGCGGCCCGCGCCGACCACGACTTGACTGCGAGGCTCCTGCAAACCACAGGTGGTTTCTTCCTGTGACACACACTCTCTCCTTTCTCCTTCAGGGCCACTGAGGGTCCCCGGGGAGGCGCTCATCTCGGAAAACACGCCTTTAGCGAATAGCGTTTAGCCCCCTCCAAAGATTAATAGAAAGTTGGGCCACACGTTTACATCTTGGAGCAAAGCCACCCAAATCCTGTGCACCCTGCGCCCTGGGTCCTGCGCCCTGACCAACAGGTATCCCCCCACTCTAGAAGCGGTCGCTCGTTGGGGTCCCTACTCCGCGGTTACTAGGTCTCTCTCCACTCATTACCCACCCCCACCAAAGGATGATGTGATTCTTGGTCCTCAGCATCCTGGGACTAATTGAAAATGCATTTCCTGGATCATCAATCCAAAGACAAGAGCCCACATCCCCTGCCCTCCCTGAATGCGTACAGGGAATGGCAGAGGGTGGTGCAATGGACTGAGGAGAGGGGTTGTATGGCTTCACAACTGCACAAGGGCGGGGGCTAATGGGGGCTAGTGGTGACAGACAGCCCAGTAAGCCCAGAATCGCGGCCCAGGCGGTGAAATCTTCTAGGCTAAGAACCAGTAGTATGGAGTGGCACCTGCAGCTAGCCAGGGTCTCTAAAGGAGTTCTCAGGATCATAGAGGCGCTTCCAGATCCCCAGATTTCAACCTCAACCTCAACCCCTTGCTTTAGGCACAACACCCTCTCCTTAAAGACCAGCCCGGTGTCAGTCTCTCATCTTCCCAAGGAGTCCAGCCCTCGTCCACGGTTTACTGTCACTCTGGTCTCTGAAGCAAGGTTCCCCCTCAGGTGGTCCTCTGAATGCCTATGGTGGACTGCTGGTGTGGCACATCTTGGACTTTACTGGAAGTTGGCAACGGTCTGCCATACACATGGTGGGGGCACGGAATTGCCATTCTTCCAGACAGCACTTCTATCCTCAGGCTTAGCTTTGCTTCTGTGTATTTTAATTTGTTAATCTAAAAGGCTAGGAAACAGTATATTGAGTCTGTTAGGTGTAAATGAGAAATCATCGGTTATGAATGTGTGGTCAAATGGGCCACAGACTCATCTTTTTAAGGCTCAGGTTCAAATTCTGATTCCGGTTTCCAGGCTGTGTGACTTTTGGTAGCCACTTCATGTCTCTGTGCACCGTTAGTTGCCTAACCTGTTAAGTGGGGCTAGCATCAGCTCCAATAGGGTCCCTGTGAGGATCCAGGGATCAGGAGTCCAGCATCTAGTAAGTATGAGGGAGTAGGACTGTCACTGGGATGTAGTGATGGGGATGCCTAGCTCTCAACCTGCCCCCTTCCCCTACACTGTAGGCAGAAACCATGCCATCACTCTGACAATACACTGCATCTCCTTCCATTTTATTTCCTGCCCTCTTTTGCTGACTCGGCAGCCTTTGCTTGCACAGCACTGCATGGCAAACACATTCCCTCTGGGAAGTGGTGATGGCCTCAAGCCAGATACAGGGCACTGCTCCCCCAGTCATGCATGCCTTTCACTCACTCCCTGCCATCCTGTCCACCCTTCCCTGCGCTCCCCCTCTCATCTCCCACTCCCAGGGTCGCTCAGACAGTGACCTGCTCTAGTCTCCGGAGTGCAGATATTTAAGGCATATTTGTGCAGTTTGGAACTGTTTGCCCCATAAAGTAGGGCTGGAGGTATTGATTGCATTTAAGAGGAATTTTGCCAAAGTGATTTAAACACAGTACCACCCAGCAACTTAAGCAAGAGCCAAGGAAGAGGCAAAGCTACCCTTGCAAGCAGGCTGCTGCAGCCTCTTATTGGGGATGAAGCCAGGGCCTTGTATATTTGTGCTAGGCAAGTGCTCTACCACTAAGCTGCAGCCTTAGTCCTCCATGGACTCTTTGGGTGCTGAGCTTGGCTGGAAACCTTGCCTCAGTGACTTCAAGTGGAGTCACACACTCTCCTTGTCCAGAAGACTGCCTGACCCTCTGGGTGAGAGCTTTGCTAATGGGACAATAATGACAGCTGAGGTCCCAGCCCTCTCTACCCTCAGGCATCGCTATTTGTTTTCTAGTCTCTGCCCATACTCAGGATGCTTTCCAGTTGTAACTTGGTGATGGTGGTGGGTGCTCTGGCTTCTCTGTGTAAGTCCCTTTTCATGTCCACATGAGCCTGTATGTCTCCTTGAAAGAACTCAGCCAAGGGACTGAGGAGTTAGCTTAGTGGTAGAATGTTTGTCCAGGATGCAGGAGGTCCTGGATTCAATCCCTGTTACCTGCTCATCCCAAGAAGGAGAGGTCGATTAAGGTAGAACTGAAAATTATTTCAAGTTGTCAAGAAAATGCCTATAAAGTACAATATTTAGGGCATGGAGAAATGTCTCAGAGGTTAGGATCACTTGCTGCTCCTGCAGAACACTCAGGTTGAGTTCCCAGTATCCTTATTGGATGGCACATACCACCTGCAACCCCAGTTCCAGGGAATCAGACACCCTCTTCTGGTTGCCCAGGCCCTGCACACATATGGCATACATAAACACATACAGACACTCAGATGAATATGCACGCACACAAAATAAAACCATAAATACTTTAGAAAAGGATGTAGCCACCCTCTGGTGTCACCTGTATTTATCATGCCCATACTCTGCACCCCCGAAGCAAAATCTCCCATATGGATTCTTCTTTGGTATGTGGTCAACCCTCCTCCCATCTCCTTCCTGTCCTCTGAACCCTGACTGGCCTTGCTAGTGCAACAGAAATTAGTTCATGAGCAGTGAGTGGCAGCCTGGAACTCTTGGGAAGCTGCTGGGGCTTGGGACGGTTGCCATTGCTGTGAGAAAGCCCAGACAGTGTATAGGTGGAGCTGGCGTGGGGGGGGCACTCCCAGAAGCAGCCAGTATCTAGGAAGAGCCATACACACTGCCCTGAGAGAGAACACACACCATCCTGAAAGGGAATCTTCCTATTCCAATCTTTTTGTATTCTTAGTCTCTGAATAAAATGAACTATTGTTTTAAGCCAAGGGTTATGAAAACTCTAGCTTTTTACTGTTTTGTTTTGTTTTTCTGGTAACACAGCTATGGTCATCCACTTAGAGTATCCATAACTCTGTATCAACACAGACACTCTAACAGGCTAATTGAGCAGTTCTATTAGACAACAGATAGCTCACAAAACTGAGGTCATTTGCCACTTGAGTGACTTTTTTGCTTGTTTGTTTCAGACAAGATCTCATGTAGCCGAGGGTGACCTTGAACTTCTGATTCTAATGAGTGCTGGTATTACAGGTTTGCACATGCTTAGGTTATGTGCTACAGGGGACTTAACCCAGGCCTTCTTGAATGCAAGGCAAACACTCTGCTAATGAAGCCTCATCCCTGCCACCTACTTATATAACAGCTTGCCAAACCCTGTGACTGGGCTGTGGGTCAGCCATAACTAATGATTACAGACCAGGGGGCTTAAGCAATGGTATCCAGTGTTCAAAGTTCTAGGTCTGGAAACTCAGAGTCTGAAAACTCAAGGTCAAAGTCCCAGCTGACTCAGTTTCTCCCAAGGCTCTCCCCCTAGTTGCAGTTATGGCTACCTTCTCACTGTGTTGGAGCTTGAGCATACTTTCTCCTGAGTCCTGCAGTCAGTTCTTGCTCCCTATGGCCTTGCTTTCTCTGCTGCAGTCTTCTCTCTCCATTAGGAGCATTGCTTATGTGGACTCCTGGATGGAATCATGTGAGACAGATTCAGCTTGGGTCAACTAAAGCCAGATGTCTATTCCTGGCCCGGGAGCCCCAGTCAATAGTGTCTTGCCTTGTGATAGCAGGAAGAAAGTGTGACTGCTCCTTTAGTGAGCCTGGAGGAAGTACGGGACCAAGTCAGGATGGGTGTTCTGTGGATGACACGGTTGATTTCAAGTTGACAGTGGTGGTGATGGTAGTGATGATGATGGTGATTATGATGGTGATGGTGGTGATGACTGTGATGGTGGTAATGATGATAGTGATTATGATGATGGTGATGATGGTGGTGATGGTGATGATAACGATGACTGTGATTGTAGTGATGATGATGATGATAGTGATTATTATGATGACGATGATGATGGTGATGGTGGTGATGACTGTGATGGTGGTAATGATGGTGACAGTGATTATGATGATGGTGATAATGGTGGTGATGGCGATGATGATGATGACTGTGATGGTAGTGATGATTATGATGATGATGATAGTGATTATTATGATGGTGATGATGGTGATGGTGGTGGTGATGGTGGTGATAGTAATTATGATGGTGGTGATGAGGATGGTGATGATGAAAAATTAAGCTTATGTACTTGGCTGTAGTCAGCACTTTACATTTGCTGTCATATTTAATCCTAAAATAACTTTATGAAGCAGGTATTATTATTATCATTATTATTGTTGTTATTTTCTCCTTTATAGATGAAGAATCTTGAGGTTTAGACAGGTCAAGTCCTTGGCCCAAGGTAGACATGAACAATGGGCATCACAGCACAGTTTTGCATTCATCACTTTCCTCAGCCTTATGTGGCTACTCCCTGGAGAGGTGGGTGTTGCCCTTGGTCAAGTGCATATTTGTATAACTAGTGAATTGTTGTATAGTGAATGCCCATGGGAGGATCACCAGGTTTTGGAATTGAACCTTAATTTCAGGATCCCAAGCCCCATATAACCTACTTTCATAATCTATGTTCTCCTCTCAGACGAAACCATGAACCTAAGTTAGTGACCTTTGCTTTTCTTTATCATTCAACAACATGTGCTATTTGACTTTGTCTCACTTGCTTCTGGACTTCATGTGTGTGGAATCTTGTCATATCCATTCTTTTTTTGCACAGCACTGTGCTTAAGATTAATTTGCACAGCTGTACCTCTTGATTCCCCATTCTGCCATGTATAGATATTTGTTTCCAGTTTTTCAGGCTGTACTACTCAACTTTTTAAAAACCCACTAGCATAATACCTGAGGCAGTTAACATTATCAAGTAAAAAGGTTTATTTAGCTCTAGGTGCTAGAGGTTCAGGAGCATAGTGCCTTCTTCTGCCCAGTTTTGGGGAGGACCTTTTCTCTCAGCCATCATATCACAGCAGAGGTACATGGATATGCATTGAGGAGTTCACATTACCAGATGTGGAATCAGAGAGACTGGCCCCATAATTACCCTCCAGAGAGCACATTTCTGGTGATCAAGGACCAACCACTAGACCTCACCTGCCAAAGGTTCTACCACTTCCCAACAGATTCAGTCCAGGCACAAGAACCCCTAGGGAGACACACACTCAAGCCACAGCTGTTCTTCTCAAACCACTCCCCTAATCTTGCCCAAGCGCTCTGCACCTAGGTACACATCACACACTGAAGTTCACCTCTAGTGCCAAGGAGGATCCAGGCCAAGCCGGTCTCTCTTTTCTGAGCTGGATCAGCACATTGAACCAGGTGTATCACTGTGTCCTGTGACTTTCTTTTAAGTCGCGGTCTCATCCACTCACACAGGGAATGGAGAGCATGGCCAAGTGGACCTGTCACATGGCACTGAGCTCCACGCCTGGCACAGATGGCTTAGACTAAGTGGTAGATGAACAACAAACAAGCAGGCAGCCTGTATCTCTGAACACAGGCTGAACTGAAGCTTGTCGTACAGGGAAGGGCCCGGCTCAAGGTGTTTTGCAGGCTCCTTCTGACCCACGTTTCATACTTGGTAGACTCCAGCTGGTATCACCAACAGGACACTTGGGGACACAGCGTATGGACTGTGGGGAGACTATGGGGGCCCTGCTCACCCCTCCTGCTCAGCAGATGGTGTGGGGGACATATAAGCCATCTGAGGAACCGCCTCCCTGCCATTGCTCTCAAACATGTTACTTTTACATACTCCCCGTTCCCTGCTCCCACGGCTCATCAGTGTGATCAGACCTCATGAGGACCAGTGGCCAGAGGGTCTGCATCCCACTCTCCTGTCCACCGTGAATCGGATCCATCTGGAAAGGCAGACCAGAAGGAAAAGACTGAGGAGCCTAAAGGTACATCACACATGTGGAAAGACTGGTCTGCGAAAGGACTTCAGGAGACGGGGCTGCTGCAGGTTGCAAGGTGGATTCAAGACTTAGAAATCACAATAGCGGACTGGGGCCTGGCTGGTATGGACCAGCTCCATCAGACATACAGGCACCCAGAGGAGCTCACTCACAGCTATACATTTCAGGGAAGGGCCCACCACTCCCTGAATTCCAGATGACATCTAGCACTCTCAACATGACACCCCCCACCCCACCCCCCATCCTCGTCCCCATTCCTCCACATTTCAACTCCTGTATTCCCCTCCTTCTGCTGGTATTTCCTTTTGGGTCCCAGCTTGTAGCCCTCTCCCCCCCCAGGAAGCCTGCCCACCACTCCATTCTTCCTGCCCAGTGTCTCCATCTCACAGTAGAGGGTTCTCGGCATGGCCTAGTTAGGTCACCATCAGCATTTGCTGTGAGAGACTTAAGACCCAGCCTGAGTCCCCATGTTTACATCTGTCTCCAACTTAGTGTCCATACATACCAGATGTTTAATGGCTGTGTTTGAGCCTCCGAGTGGGTGACAGCAGAGCTACTGAGAGGGAACGAGGAGCTGGGGACACCCCCTTCCTGTTCCGCACCCCTTCCCACCTTGCCTTCTGCCTACGCATCAAGGAAGGCACCCCCTCTACCTTTCTTGTGCCATTCGCCAGGGACACAAAGAGGGCTGGGACCCAAGCCCCTTAGGCAAAGACGACTCATTCAGACTCTTCCCCCTCAGCTCATAGCTTGGGTGGGCTTTACCCATGTTTCAGATCCTGGATCCATCAGTACCCAGAGTCAATGGACCTCTGAAAGTACACCCCAAACTGCAATCAACACCAGTAGCTTCTCATGCTTTAGTTCCTGGGGGCCCGTGCCTGTTAAAAGGATATTTGGGGGAATGCTTCATGGAGAGGTTGTGCTGTTGGCTTTTTGTCAACTTGACAAACTAGACATACCTGAAAAGAGAAAAATCTTAACTGAGAAAATGCCTGCTTAAGATGGCCTGTGGGCAGGTCTGTGGGGGATTTTCTTGGTTAATGTGGGATGGGCCCAGACTGCCATGGGTGATGCAGGTTGTCCTGGACTGTATAAGACGGCAGGCTGAGCAAGCCGTGGGGAGCAAGCCAGAAAGCAGTGTTCTCCCGTGGCTTCTGCTTCAGTCCTGCCTGTGCGTTCCTGCCTGTGTGTTCCTGCCTTGCGCTCCTGCCTGTGCGTTCCTTCCTTGCGTTCCTGTCTTGCGTTCCTGCCTGTGTGTTCCTGCCTTGCGTTCCTGCCTGTGTGTTCCTGCCTTGCCTTCCTGCCTGTGCGCTCCTGCCTGTGCGCTCCTGCCTGTGCGTTCCTGCCTGTGCGCTCCTGCCTGTGCGCTCCTGCCTGTGCGTTCCTGCCTGTGCGCTCCTGCCGTGCGTTCCTGCCCTGACTCCCTTCAGTGAAGGACTGTGATGCACATGTGAAAGCTGAATACAGTCTTTCCTCCCCAAGTTGCTTTTGCACACGCTGTTTATCACAATAAAAAGCCCTACCTAAGGTGGGTGTGAGTCGCATGCTGCATCCATTGCCCATTTAGAGGATGCTGTTGGTGTTTATGGCTGATTCAACCAGTGTGAGCCACCATGCACAGTGCTTAGCCCTTCTATGGCCCTAGACAGAAACCCTGTCTCCATGAGAGTCCTTCCCTGTGCCCTTCCCTCCAACTTCCTGGAACCCACCACTCTTTTCTGTTTCTGGGCTTCTGAACACTTCACATGGGTGGCATCGGGTGGCACTTGGCCCTGGATGCCTGGCTTCTTTCTCTCAGCACGGTGTTGTTGAGCTTTGTCTACACTGTGCATGTGTCCATGCTTCACTCTTTTCCATAGCTGCACAACCTCCTGTCGTGTGGACAGGTCGCACTGTCTCTCCTTCATGCTGCTAGAATGTGCCGATTGCCAGTCATGTGGACACTGTGCATTTTCTGTCTGTTGTTTGTCCATCCCTCGGAGGTGGAACATTTGGCTGTTTGCGCTTTGAAGTTCTCTGCAGGGATGTGCATATGTTTCTGCATGGACACAGGACTTCAGTGTCTTAGACCTGGGAGAGGAGTTGCTGACCCCATGGCAGTCTTGTGCTTTTCTGACTTTTGAGATACTTCTCAGCAGTTTCCACTGTAGTGGTCGCATGTTGCATTTCACCAGCAGGTCAAGAGAGCGGGGGGGGTCCGTGTCTCCAGTACCTTCCATACTCTTTGCTGGTCCCTTTGATGACGGCTGCCCCTGAAGCATGCAGCAGTACCTCTGGGAGACTATGATTTGTGTTTCCCTGGCAATCAGCCACTGAGCATCTCCTCCTGTGCTTCCTGGCCATCTGTGTGTCCTCGCTGGGGAAATGTCTGTTCAGGTCCCTCTCCCACTGAAATGCGTTCCTTTGCATTTCTGTGTGTCCTTTGCACCTTCTGTATATAAGACTCACTGGATTTGTGATCGCAAAAACCTATTTGCGAGCTGTCTTGACCCTCCCTTCCCTCCCTTTTCTTTCCTTCTTCTTGTTTTTTTTTTAACCTGGGATCTCGGTTTGTATCCCAGGGTGGCCTGGAAGTCATGGCAACCCTCCTGCTTCAGCCTCGCCTCTGCTGGAATCACACACAGGCACACAGCACCTGGCCTTCTGCTTTCTTCATGACATTATTTGCAACACGAGTTTTTTCTTTTCTTGAAGGAGTTTTTAAATTACATTTTATTCATTTGCTGGAGGGGGCCCCTGTGCATGTGCCTTGGCATCCATGTGTAAATCCGAGGACAGCTTGCAGAGCTTGGTTCTTTCCTTCCACTGTGTCAATTCTGAGGAGCGACTCAGGTTGTCGGGCTTATCTGCAAGCGCCTTTACCTTCGAGCCATCACTGCTCTATAGCCCAGGTTTTTACTTTGCCAAAAAGCGAGGTACTGGTTTTCACCTGGGGCTCCCAGAGAACCCCTATATGCCCACTCCTTCACGATGGCTGTTGTGTGCTCATGGCGTGTACGCACTCCTTGTCCTATGGCTCCCTGCTCCCACCACCTTGTCCCTCCAATAGGCCTGGGAAGGTGAAGGCAGCTCCCTTATGACAAGAGGTGGGGACCCTGTGGGCCCTTCTTCCTGCCCAGACGACAGCTTTTTAAAAACATGCTTGGTTCGTGTTATAATCAACCCAATCATTACAGAACTTGTGCAAAAACAACAAAACAAAACAAGCCACCAAAAAGAATATGATCACCATTCCTTCCAGAACCTCCAGGGTGTTGCTAGCATAGCTACACCTCATGAAGTTAGGAACACACTGCACAGGCTTCCTGGGTATTCACTTACTTTGCTTTGCAAACTCTCCTGGAAAGTTCCTTAGTTCATCAAATCGTCTTCAACTGAATTTATGAGTGACTTAGGTACATCATGCTTACATTGTTAAACCGCTTTCCATATGTTCACTAGTCCACTTCGATTTCAGCACCAGAATGTGAAGTAGTTAACTACTGACTTCCTTGTGGAGAAAGACGCTGAGGCATTTACCCAGAGTCGCACAGCTAAGACTTGAGCAGGGACTTGAACCTGGGCACCTGGCCTCTGGAGTCCACGCAGTCTCACTTTGGGCAAAGTGGAAGGGACAGCATAGGAAGGAGCTACACTGAGGTGGGCAGCTCTGAAGCAGACAGACCTCTTCTACCTTGGAGCTCTGGTGGGCAGAGTCAGAAAGCGGCTAGCCAGCTTTGGGGTATGCATACTAGCCACCACAGTTCCAGGGCTAGGGATGGGGTGGGCATGGAGGTGAGGGTGGTGGTGGCCATGCCTCTCTGTGTGGACATGTGCATCCAAGGGACACATAGGGCATCCAATAAGCTCAAAGTCTTTGTATCTGCAGAGACACACATCCTCCTCTGCTCTCAGTTCCTCACCCCTTTGGTCCCAAGCACCAAGGTCTGGAATGAGTATCTCCCAGCTGCTCATAATGCCAGAGTAGATTGGCACAGAATGTGCTATTCAGGAGAGACAGCAGTGGCCCAAGATGCAGGGCAACCTCTATGGGCAGAGCAGGTGTCTCCCTCTTTCCAGGATCTCAGGGGGAAGGGCTAGACTTCAGGGGCAGGGTTAGTCTTCAGGGGGCCGGGCTAGTCTTCAAGCTGCTGCATAGGAAAGGTGCTCAAGCGAGTGGAGTGTGTGCGTGTGCGTGCGTGCATGTGTGTGTGTGTGTGTGTGTGTGTGTGTGTGTGTGTGTGTGTAAAATGATGATGCTTGTTCACATGCTCACCTGTACTGCATTGGGCATGCTGTCTAGGGAGACAGTGGAGATAGTTGGTGATGACAGGAGACATGGAAACAATTAACTCCAAACTCTGCCAAGTCAGAGCTTCTGTGTCTCTGATATCGAGGCAGCCACCTTTCCACATGAAGTGAGAATGTCCTCTGTGTTTATAGAGGACAGAGCTCCATTGCACCAAGTTACTGTCCCGAAGGCTTCCACATACACATCCAGTTGCTCCCTGCCAACAGTTCTACGTGATTTGATGGGAGGTGGCAGTGTGGAGGTCAGAGGGCAACCTGAGGAGTCAGTTCTCACCTTCTACCGTGTGGGTTGGGGGGGGCAGGGGGTGTGTCAAACTCAGATCATCAATCAGTCTTGGTGACAAGTCTGAGCTTTTTTTACCCACTGAACTTCCTTGCCAGTTCTGCTCCCACCAGTTCTAAACCACAAATGTCCAGGTCAAAGGGCATGAGCAGTTTGTACAGCTGCCGTCTGTTGCCTGTGGTCCACTCACTATAAACTAGCCCAGCCTCCAGCACACAACAGGGTGGGCTAGTCCCTGCATCTCCCTCGCAGACTCTCTGGTCCTGCTGAGACCCAGGCTCCTGCTCTACTGTAGTCCATTCACAGACTGCACCCCACGTGTCCTACATGGACAGCTTCGCTCCCTCCACCTGTCATGCAGGAAGCCTGGTACAGGCAGCACCCAGAGCAGCATGTCAATAGCCAGGCCAGACATGTGGTTGCCAGTTCATGTCCGGCTCAGCTCCTGCCCTCTCCATGGCGTCTGAAACTCTGCCATCACCTTCCAATCCGGCCTGGCTATTTGTGTAGCCAGTATCTGAACTTGACTAGCTCCAGAGAGGGACAGAGACTAACGCTGGGTGGTAGAAGAATCTAACTAACTAGGTGAGGTCTCAGCAGGCGTCGGAGCCGGTGGCCCTGGTTCTCTGATGGCTTGTTCAACAGGCTCGCAGAGGTTCACAGCTCAAGGGAGACCCCCTCTGGCCCAGGAGTAACACTGCAACTGCAGCATCACTGTCCTGGAGGCACAGCTATACCTTGGGAGCCTGTGCCTACCCAGTGCTGTGCCAGTTGGCCCCTGACTACACCTCCCCCTGCATTCTCTGTTTTTAGAAGGTTTTGTGTTCAAGTTAAAGTTGGGAGAGGGTGCAAGTGCTTGGTTTTTTTTAACTTTCCATTTGAACCATTGATATTTTTGGCTTTGGGGCATTTTCTGTCTCCAAAAGAAAGAGAAATTTCACAGCGTTTAACATTAACACCCAACTTCCAGCAAACCTCTGAGGCAGCTCTGTGACCTCCCTATCCCTAGGAGGTGTGATGCCGATGCAACTGCACCCAGTCATATACATCTTTCCTGTGACAGATGGCATCCACCACATGCCCCTGAATATAAGACATCACCAGCAGGAGGGCTCAGGATCCCTCATCTCTGGACAGTGAGGCAGCCTTGGTAGGGCTCTGGGGTAGGGTGAGGAACAATGCAAGGACCCTAAATGAGTGCTTCATAGAGGTGGGCTTCCTGCACACAACAGCACACGCAGGCAGGACTCACAGCTACTAAGACATAACCCCTGCCTCCTGGAGAGAGCTGACTTGGTGTTCTCCTCTTCACTAGTGTGTGTGTGTGTGTGTGTGTGTGTGTGTGTGTGTGTGTGTGTGTGTGTACGAGTGTGCAGGTCCATGTGCCTGTGACGGTCAGAGGGCAGCTTCGGGAGTTGTCCTAGGGAGCTGTCCACTTTGTTTTTAAGACATGTTCTCTCACTGGGATCAGGAGATTTCCAGGTAAGCGAGGCTGGCTGACCATTGAGCCCCAGAGAGTCCCCTGTGTCTGCCTCCCCAGTGCTAGGATTATAGACATGCACTCCCACATCAGGCTTTTTTCCCGGGTGGTCTAGGGATCGAACTTGGGTCCTCACATGTATGCAGCAAGCGCCTTGCTGACTGAGCGCCCTTTTGGCCCTAGTTTTCTTTCCCTCCAAAATTTCTGAGGGTCAGTCCTGGGAAAGAGTTTTGGAGGTAGGAGAACAAGGCCAGGGTTCCAATCCTGGGAGAACATCAGCCTAGGAGAGGAACTGAGCTTGGCTGATTACGAGAGATGGATGAGAAGACCGGCAGATGGTAGTCCACCCACCTGGTGTCCAGGCATCCCAGCGTAGTGACTACATTGAGGTCACGGGAAACTCTTACCAAAGTTGAACTCAGAGCCAAACATAGTGGCTCAAACCTGTAATCTCATGGTTTGGAAGGACAATGCAGGAAGATTATTATGAGGCTGGCCTAGGCTAAAGAATGAAAAAAAGTTTTTTTTTTTTTGTTTTTACGAGACAGGGTTTCTCTGTATTGTTTTGGAGGCTGTCAGACCAGCCTGGCCGAGTGCTGGGATTAAAGGCATGCGCCACCACGCCCGGCAAGAATGAAATCTTATCTCCAAACAAGAGAGAAACAAAGTTGGGCTCAGATATGGGGAGTTGCAGGGAGAGAGAAATCCATCTCCATAGAAGGCTTTGTGAAGGAAGATTGGCCTCCCACTTGCTCCTTGAATGATACAAGCCAGGGATCAAAGACAGGAGGCCAGCTATAGCTTCACTGTGGCTGGGCCCAGTAAGGGTCCCATGTATGGGAAGGAGCTTTCCTGCCTATATCCCAGGAAAGGGCCTGGGCTGCTCCTTCTCCAGCATCCAGGTGTTAAATCTGACATGCCTACTTCCTGGTCCCAGATGAACACACTGGCATGCTGAACATTTGCTGTCATGCTGAGACATATATATCAACTGGGGAGGCTGAGGTCAGTGGGTGTTGAGGGGAGGCTCTCTCTGCCACGCCTCCATGAAGCATCCTCAGGGAGGCCCGTGTCAAAACACAGGGAAGATGTCCCATCATGCACACAGTTCAACATGTACTGATGGCATGTACCACTGCGCAGAACGAACAAATGTTCATCGTTCCACATTTGTTCTTGAGTGTTCTTTTAGGAGAGCAAACTCACAGAGAATTGGCACTGTCCCCAGGCCTCCGGTCGACCAAGGAAACCTATCCCTGAAGTCACAGTGAGGTGTTCCCATTCACACCCTTGTCCCTGCTCTGTTTGCCTGTCTCCAGAAACTGTCCCAAGGGGCTCACAGGGCATCACCTGGATCACATCTCTTGGCAGCTTACTCTTAAGGTGGTTGCTGCTTTTACAGGAAGCATGCAAGGTCACTAATTGGAATCCCTTGTCAAGACTCCTCAGACTTTAAAGGCCTGTCTGAAAATTCCGGGGTACTCTGCCCCTTAGGAGATGGGGCTCCCCCCTTCTCCCTTCTTTTCTGTCTCTCTTCTTTCCCTCTCCCCCTCCTCCTCTTTTGAGAACTCTCTCTACTTTTCTAGAAGCCAGCTGCCTGCTGTTAGCTTCCCACGGAGCAGGGAACACGCTTCCCACAGAGAAAGGCTGTATGTGAAGTCCTCAACCAGTTAAAGCTTCCCACTGCACCCTTGCCCATTGTCTCTTCTGCCAGAGACTCCTTCCTTGGGCCAGACCCTCTCAGGGCAGTTCCCTCTTCCTACCCCACAGACACCACAAGATAATAAGCTATTGTGCTAAGCTCAGACTCTGGAGCTATTTGTTATGTGGCAGTAGATAACAGATACATTCCCACCATCACTGCAATCCTGAAATGAACTCAGAGGCAGCTCTGCTCTGCAGAGCCAGTGTCTGTGTGAGCTTTCCTGTCAGTGTCACTCACTCCCCGAACTCCAGCAGCCCCGTCCCTCAGAAGCAGCTTCCCACAGGGGTGGTTTAGTGGGACATGGGCGTCCTACCCCCTCCATCTCCTCTTCTGTCCCTGAGCCTTGTTTCTCTCCTCTGTAAAATGGTCCAGAGGGAGGAGGGTTGAGTGTGTGAGCAGGCAGACAAGATCCCCCAGTGCCCAGGCCACCTCAGACACGGTCATCTGTGGGATACAATACCAGAAGACTTTGTGCCAAGCTCAGGGAGGCCCATGACCTGGAGCTGCACTCTGCTTTCCTGAGATGCATGGCATAAACCCTAGTCAGCTGCGGGGCAGCAGGGAGGCTCAGGCTCAGGAGCCCCAGCCACTGTGCCTTGATGGCTTGTCCGTCACATGGACACTGTGGCCTCCTGAGAGGCTGGAGATGCAACCCCCAACCCGACTCCTTTTCACTTAGATAAAGTTTACAGGCAGATTCACCATGTAACAGTTTTTCAGTGTGTTAAACTGGAGCAGAGTTACCAAGGTCAGCCAGCTTCAGGCTCCTTCCCTTGCACAGCATGGGTCCTGCCTGGAGATCCTGCCATGACAGCCATCCCCACACAGGCTGGTCCCAGGCAGAAGCCATATGTCCCAAGAGCTTTCCACCCCAGAGGCTCAGGAGAAAGCTTCATTTAGTCTTTTGAACTTTCCTTAATATACAGTTGGTTTTCCTTAGCCTATTTCTGTTTCTATTTTGTTCATCGGAGAGGGCAGGATCTCACTATGTAGCTGACTTGGAACTTGCTATGTAGAGCATCCTGGCCTCAAACTTGATGTGTAGACAGAGCTAGACTGAAACTTGCTGCTATCCTCTTGCCTCTGCCCCCTGGTACTGGGGTCATAGGCATGCACTCTCATACCTGACTGCCCACTGGAGCTTTAAACAATTGTCTCAATATGTAAGAAATACATATCCACCATAGGGGAGGGAGGGGAGGGAAGAAGCAGAGTTGACGTCCTCCCTGCTGGAGGACATCTGAAGCAGAGCATTTGTGATCACTGATGGAAGCCTTCACAAAGTCAGACCTGCTGACATTCCTTCAGGAGGGAGGGCAGAGGCTCCGGGGTGAGCTGTTGTTTGGAGATGTGTCAGGGGCTCTCCCAGATAGCACGTCTGCCTGGAAGATGCCCATTCTCCTCCCCTGTGAGTAACTCCAGTAAGCTCATGGTTCACCATGTTTGGAATGGCATCCTTTCTTCAGTCTGTGGGGGCCCTCCCTGTCTGGGATAAATAAAAATTTCTTTGCATCTCCCCTGAAACAGTAACTCCCTCAAGCATGGTGTGGAAGGGAAGAAGCCAGGTACTGGGTGGCCCTGTTGTTTGTTTAGAGTGCAAACTGGGTACAAGGGACTTAGAACTAGGATGGTAGTTACCCTAAGGGGAAGATTCATGGCCAGTTGGGGAACTGGAATGTTCTATGGCTTCACCTGGTGCTGATTATACATAAGGAAGATTTCTGCCTGCAAATTTTTTGTTTTATTTTGTTTTGTTGAAGCAAGGTTTTTCCATAGAGCCCTGGCTGTCCTAGAACTCACTATGTAGATCAGGCTGGCCTTGAACTCACGGAAATCCTCTTGCCTCTGCCTCCTGAGTGCTGGGATTAAAGTCATGCCAACCTTCTGCAAGAACCTGTCCAGCTCTATGTTCTTCATTCGGCTGCTCTCCCACATATACATTAAATAAAATACTTAACAATGTTTCATCACAGTCCCTCCGTCCCCAAGTGATTGCCTCTATAATATTTCAGTGTGCTTCCTTAGATTTTCCAAACACACACACACACACACACACACACACACACACACAATTCATGGAAAGATAAAACTTACCTTACTTTCCTCCAAAGTTGCTGAGGGACCAGTGAATGCTGAAACCAGACTTCCAGAGTCCTCCCTGAGGCCTCCACTCAGTGACGCCTCCTGAGCCACTGAAACACGGGTTCGATAACTGTGAATTCTCATGCTTTAAACTGGGATCATTCTTGTACACCCTGCCCTTGGGGGGCTTTAAGGATTTGTTTTCATTGTCAACCTGACTCACTCCAGTATCAGCTAAGAGAAGGACCTCAGAATATCTACAAGGGATTATCTTAGTTGCATTAGTTTATATGAGAAGACTGCCCACTGTGGGCAGCATCATCCCCTGGCCTTGGGTTTTTGACTGACTAAGAGGAGAGAGCCGCCCGAGTGCTGGTGTGCACACCTTCTCTCTCTGCTCTTCACACTGATGTGACAGTTGCCTGGATTTCTTTGCAATGATGAACTATAATATGGAATTGTGAACCAAATAGACCTTTTCTCTCCTAAGGGTATTTTATCACAGCTTCAGGAAGCAAAAACAAGATGGACTGCTGGGAGTTCCAGGCCAGCCTGGGCTACTATGTAAGACTCTGTTTCAAACACCCCAAATCAAACAACAAAATAAACAAAACCCAACAAACGGTTTTTCACCCAACTTAACACAAACCCCTTTCTAAATAAATGGCATTTGTGCATAAATATTTATAAGGGAACCCCAATTATAGGATTACTCCCAATCAAGTCCTCCCAAATGCTTAGGACTCATCTAGAATATGTAAATGTTCAAGATGCCATGCAACACTTAGTGTTTAATTCATTATCGAGTTAGAAATCAGAATGAGATCAAACAGAATGCGTATGACAGGTTGGCTAATAGACAAACTCGCCCTTCTGGAAATACAGATAGATGTCATTTCCCGGTATTCCTTGCAGTCAGAGCAGTCATGTAACAGTGTGTCCAGTAGAACTGAAAAATCATAGTGGGCATTGCTTCCGAGCCTGACCTCCCTTTCTCTGACAAAAGCCAGAACTCACCCCGCACACTGAGGCCCCAGATGATGGGGACCAACCACACATAAGGTGCCTGCACCCCTGGGTTATCCAATAGAGAATGCACAAACTCCCAGTTAAGATTATGTAAAAAGGGAGTCCACTGCCTTGATTCACACAAGTGTCAGAGTGAGAGCATGATCATCACCCACACAAATTTGATGTATTCATTTTGTCTTGGTAGAAAGGAATCTGGTGGGGCCAAGGGAGATGAGGTTAGTCAGTCAGTGCAGTACTAGCACACAGGCATGGGGACCTGAGCTTGAATCCCAGCAGGTTAGCCAATCAGCAAACTCCAGGATCAGTGAGCCATCAAAAAAAGTGGAGTATGTTTGATAAAGACAGCAATATCAACTCTGATGTCCATATGTGCGTGCACATACATGCACATGAACAAATACACAGACACGGATATGTGAACTGTAAGGAAGGAAACTGGGATTGAGGAAGAGGAGGGTTGCTTTCCTCTTCTCATCTCTTGAGGTTCATGTTTGCCCCTTAGAATCAGAGGCTCACTTCCATAGGCCAGGCCAGCCTGGGACCTGCCAGTCCTCCTGCATCATGCTGGGACCACAGGCCGTGGTACCCACCACACCCCACCTGAAGCTTCCATTCAGATGCTGCAGGAGCCTGATCTTCCACTTCAAACACGTCTGGTGAAGTTCTGACTCGGTTCCTAAAGCAGTTCCTTTTCTTGTACTTCTGAGTTTGTAACCCTTGAGCCCATTCAGGTTGCTGCTGTCCCCTATTGAATACTGAAATGATATTTTGTGCAGGGAGTTCCCATGCCTTGAGACTCAAATTTGTGTATTTTGCCGTGACACTGTACTGCCACCTGCCTCTCGTGGAGGTGGTCCTTGTCAGAGCCACACAGAGTGGACCACAGCCATCATCCTCTGTTTTTTGTGTTTAAATCTGAAGTGATTTGGATTGTTGGGGATAGGGAATGATGTTTCCCTCTCCAGTTTGTAACAGAGAAACGGATGGCTCAGGGGTTGACTGACTTTTCCTATGTTTTTCAGCTTTGCATACATGTGGCCTCTGTCATAGCCACTGGGCTCTGCCCGGTAGAACTACAGTAGCCGAACAGGTGTGACCTTAAACTCATTTTGTAGCCTAGGCAGGCCTAGAACTTGCAACCCTGCCTTTGGTCTCCCAGTTGACTGGGATTACAGGTCTGTGTCCATGCCCTCTGCAGCTTCACCGGGTCTCCAGTAGAACCTTCCTCACAGAACCAGCCTCAGCCTGAGAACAAACCTGGCTATGGCTCACCTGTCCTCACACCTTCAGTGTTCACCTTGCTTCAGCTTCAACTTCCAGGGCCTTCAAACAACAAAGAGCCTTCGAACCAGGTCTGGAGGGACAGGGAAGGGACCGAGTCATCCAGGTATTCATCAGCTGTACCCTGGTAGAAAGGAAGCTGTAATCCCAGATCATTGGAAAACTGAGGCAGGAGGATTGCAGGTTGTAGACCTGCCTGGCCTACAGGGTTGAATCAAGGCCAGCTTGGAATAACAGTTATTGTGCCAGGGGCTCAGCCTGCTGAACCGTGTGGACTGGGATATCATTCTGGAATGAACAGGAGCTCTTTTGGGCTGGGAGACCAAAGCACTTGTGAGAGCATTGGAGAGAGGCAGAAGTAATTAACAGGCAGGCCCTATGGGGCAGAGGGAGGAATTGAGGGCAGGCTGGAAGCAGAGACAGGAGGTGGAGATGCTCGATAGCACAGGTGATGAAGGGGCAGCTTGCCACTCTGTCCTCCCATCCCTGCCCCCACCCCCAGGCCTCTACTGTCCAGGGACCCAGGGCCATTGTCAGCACCATGTCCTCAGCAGGTGTCCCCAAAACAGATACTGGGTAGAGAAGTAGGAGAGGTAGCCAGCTGCTCCCACAGTCAGCCAGGTGGGTGGGCTAGGGGGCAGAGTGAGGGCAGAGAGGGACAGAAGCCTTAGCACAAGGTCTTGATGTGAGGCCTATCTGGATCCTAACAATAAGGAAACCCCATGAAAACAGCATCAGGTAGCTGGAGACATTGGAGCATGACTTTTGAGTCTTGGATCATGTATGAAAATGTTGCTACTGGCTTCCAATGCCTGAATGCTGAGGCCATGTGGGTTGTTAAGTCATTAGAGCTGGCGCATGCCTTTACTCCCAGCACTCAGGAGGCAGAAGCAGGAGGATCTCTGTGAGTTCAAGGTCAGCCTTCTGTACAGAGCAAGTTCCAGGACAGGCTCCAAAGCCACACAGAGAAACCCTGTCTTGAAAAATAAAAAACAAAACAAAAAGAAAAAAAGTAAAGCCGGGGTTGGTGGCACACACCTTTAATCCCAGCACTTGGGAGGGAGAGACAGGAGGATCTCTGTGAGTTCTTGACCAACCTGGTCTACAGAGCGAGTTCCAGACAGCCTCCAAAATGATACAGAGAAACCTTGTCTCAAAAAAAAAAGAAAAGAAAGAAAAGTGATTAGTCAGAAAACACACTAGAACTGTTTCAGCAGAGTAACGGCCACTGGAACGGCTTTAAACCTGTCTGAGGGCCTGTGAGATGACTTGGCAGTGGTGTCTGCCACCAAGTGTAACTCCAGGACCTCCTGGTGTGAGGAATGAACCTGGCCTGGTATGTACAGGCACTATCCTCAGCACCAAAAATAAATTAATTAAAAAGGAATTGATGTATAACTTAATTTAAAAGGATGGATGTTCCAGCACAGGGCCGAGGTCAGCAGAGCTGAGGTCAACACTCTGGTATGTGTTATGCGCAGACTTCACTTTGCCACAAGTGAAGAGACTTGTCATGAATGATATGACTGAGACCTCAGGGTGTCCAAGAACATATGCACACCACACTCACCAAACTACACACATTAAATGCAGGCAGGGCTTGGTACACCAATTTTACCTCAATAAGGTCAATTTTTTTAAAGGGCAAGTGGCAAAGATAAAATTTTTAGAGTATTTGAAGGGCTGCTAGTGAGATTCTACTCAGTCAATGGCTCCTAATACAATAAAGCAGTCCTCCCCTTCCTCCTCTTCTTTCTCAATAGCTCTGGTCCAATAGACCAGCCCTCCCCTCCCTTCCTTCCCCTTCTTTCTCTTCCTCTTCCTCCTCTACCTCCTCCTTTTCTCCCCTCTTTCTTGTTTTGAAGCTCAAGGACAATGTTATGAGAATTTATGAGGAAATATAACATTGGTTAAGTGAAAAATCTGAGCTGCCACCCAGAGGAATGGAGAAGAACTAATGCCCTTTAAGTTAGTAATAAACAGCATATTAAGAAAGGAAAACGTGGGGTTGGAGCGATGGTTCAGCAGTTAGAGCACTGGCTGCTCTTCCAGAGGACCCAGGCTCAGTTCCCAGCCCCATATGGTGGCTCACATCCCTCTTTAACTCCAGTTCCAGTGGATGTAACACCAGGCATGCACATGGCACACAGGCATACATACAGGCAGAGCACCTATACCAATAAAATAAATCAAAATAGGAAAGGACACTCCCAAGAATGGAACTGAGTTAGTTAGCTGAGGAGAGAGGCTGCCAAACCTGTCTTGTTTTCTTCTAAGACAGTCTTACTCTGCAGTCTAGTCTAGCCTTGAGTCTGCATCAGTCTTCCAACTGCTAGGATTATAAACATGCTCTACTAGATCCAGCTTTAACTCCCTTCTTTTAAAAAATAATTTGTGTAACTTTATCTTATGTGCACTGGTGTGAAGGTGTCAGATCCCCTAGAATTGGAGTTATAGACAATTGTGAGTTGTCATGTGGGTGCTGGGAATTGAACCTGGGTCCTCTGGAAGAGCAGCCAGTGCCCTTAACTGCTGAGCCTTCTTTCCAGCCCATTAACACCCCCGCTTTTGTTGTTGTTGTTTTTTGAGACAGGCTCCTGGAACTCACTCTGTAGACCAGGCTAGCCTTGAACTCACAGAGGTCCACCTACCTCTGCCTCCTGAGTGCTGTGATTAAAGGTGTGCGCCACCACCACCCAGCAAACTCCTTAAAAACAAATAATTTTATTCCCCAGGGCTATCATGCACGGAACCCTGAGCAAACTTACTTGGCTCCACACCAAGTCCCAATATAGAATACGGGGCTTTCCAGCCTCTCCTGGAAGGCTGAATGGAGCAGTTTGCTGTTTCCCACTTAAGTAGGGTGTCAATCTACAGCACTTGGTGCAGATGCGGTTGTGAAGGACCCTACCCTCTCCCTCACTTTTGCCACCAGAGTAGAAAGAATGTCTTAGAATGTGCCCAACACGCACAATGCAGGCTCCTCTCCCTTAGCAAAGCCCTGCATGCCTGGCAGCTGTAGAGAGACATGTAAAAGTATACTGTATGTCAGAGAGCTCTGTCCCTGACACAGAATTAGAAACCAGCTTCCACCTGTGTACACACCCTGCAGCATTGTGAGATGACAGTGGAGGATACCAGTAAGGTGAGGTACCCAGGACCCCTGCCTTGCACGTGTCTATTGTGAGATGCATCACACCCTTGATCCCTGAAGCTCCCAACAAAGCTCCTAGGAGGTGCAGCACCTCCAGACCACTGCACTGGGCAATTCGACCCAGCAGCCAGATTTCTCCAGCAAGGGGACTTAGCTTCAGCTCGAGACTGGGATCCATCTCAAGAGCAGACACAAGTATCCCCAAGTCTTCAGACATGTGAGTCAGCTTCACATGACCTTCTTCCTGGAAGGGAAGCCAGAGGGGAATCAGGAGTGGTAGGAAGCCCTCAGCCTCGGGAAGACTGGATGGCCACAAGGAAGCAAGGCTGTAACAGAATCCCAGTCCCCTGCTTCATCCTGTCTGTGTGTGTGCAGATACACAAACTCTGCACCTGCCTCCCTCTTAGAAAAGTGCATCTTCTGAGATCATGTTCAGGTCTCTCTGGAAAGCTTGAACACTCCTACGTATGTGCAATGGCCACACGTAGGCCATCCATAGGCTCATCCACAGACAGGTTCAGTGGAAGCCAGAGGTTGGGCTGGAGGCTCTGAGGACCTCCACACTCTAGGTCAGATTGGAACTGCTGGGGTAACAACCCAGAGACAGCCTTAAAACCGAAACCATAGAATGTGGGTTTGAGAGGCCCCTGTCATCCCTGCTAAACACCACTGAGGGGCTCAGCTGAGAAAGGTCCTGGATCCAGGCTCCACAGGATGTCTGATGCCCCAGACTCATCCATCCCATGTAATCCCTCTGCCCCGGCATTGAACAGGCCTCTTCCCAAGTCTGGTTGTTCCTTCCAAAACCACAAAACCAGGTGAAGATAAGTGGCAAATGACCTTGGTAAGGCCAGAGGGTGTCACTGAGGAGAAATGAAGTCAGGGTGAGTAGAGTCTGATGTGGCAAGGTCTCTGCTCCTAGAGCACCCCAAGACCATTTCTCCTGTCCCCAAAAGAAGTGACTGCTATTGGATGGTGGCACTCACTTAGTTTACGGGAGGCTTCCCTACTCCCACCCCAAGAAGACCTGCTCCATGGGACCCATGCTTTTACAATCTTGTGAGGAAACAAAACCAATGAGCAAGAGAACGGAGAGCTTGTCTGACTGATTAGTTAGTTAATTGTATATGGTATATATGCACATGTGTCTGCAGTGCCTGTGTGTGTTCTTGGAGGTCACAGGGGGATGCCAGGTGCCCTATCTTATCACATTCCACCTCTCTTTCTTGAGAAAAGTTCTCTCATTGAAGCTGGAGCTAGGCTGATAGTCAGTGTGCCTTAGTGATCCTTATGTCTCTTGCCCCTGACAGTTTGGGGGTTATAGGCATGCACTTAGCCACACCTATATTTTCACATGGATGCTGGAGATTTGAACTCATGCTTATATATGGTGACCCTCTGAGCCATCTCCCTAGTCCCTCTGTGTGTGGGGTGCATATATGTGCATATGCATTTGGAGGTCAGAAGACAGCCCCATGTCACTCTTCAGGAGCCACCACCTTGGGTTTTTGAGACAGTGTTTCTTATTGACCTTGAGCTTGTGAATTAGGCTAAGACAGCCAATAAGCCCCAGGGATCCCCTATCTCTGCTCCTCTAACATCTGGATTACACATGTGCACCACCACACCTGGCTCATTTCACACGGGTCCAGGGGATCAAATTCATGCCCTCACACTTGCAAGGCAAGCCCTTTACCAACTAAGTCTCCCCAGGCCCTCTCCTTTTTTTGAGTTTTTTTTGGGGGGGGTTGTCATACCACGTTGCCCTGCTGACTTCCAACTCCTGAACTTGAGGAATTTCCCCGTCTTAGCTCCTCAAGCAGCTGTGACCAGACACAAGAACTACTCCTGGCTAGGTGATGTTGACTTTGAGGCTTTTGCTGTGTGTGAGTCATCCTGAACAGCCGGTCTGTGCCCCAGGAAAGGTGCTCCTGGAAGAAGAGCATCCACCCGAGTGTTGGGAGCCATGA